GCGATTAGGTGGCCCAATTCCGCGCGAAGCCGGCGGATTGAGATTGATTCGGAGCCGTAGATCACGCCGGCGGTGGTGATTGAGCTGGCGGGAGACAGGGAGGAGCTGGGTGGCAGTGAGAGAGACGAGTCGAAGCTCTCTGTGTCTTTTGCCAAAAGTCTAATCCAATGTGGGGAGAGAAAGACGGGGAGGAGAAATTTTTGTTGCCCGCGATGAGGTGCACGGAAGAATCTTTGTTCCTCTGGCTGTCCTGCGGTTTGATTGGTTATAACGTACGAATCTTTAATATGTGGGCCATGGTTGTTTTCTTGGAGTTTGGACTGTGATAACGTCTTTCCCGCTTGCAATGAGGCCGTGGCGCCGGGTCCGTTTTAATTTATTTATTATTATTTTTTTTTGTTAAAGATAAAATTTTATTAAATTAGATGTTAGATTAACCATCGACGAAATTCGAATTATGCAGTCTTAACACCGTAAACTTTTAAAGTTTAGATAATACCAAACTAGTACTAAATCATTCATAATTTTGCCCGGTTGTCAAACATAATTTTGAATCCAAGTTTTTTCTATCTCTGCTTTTAAAAAAATTTGAGCATTACCAAACTGGCACTAGATTATTCACAATGTCTTCATTTTCAATACATTACGTCTCAGATTCAAACTCTCTTTCCATCTCTTAGTCTCGATTAGTGTAGAATATATTAAAATTCTCAACAAAAAAAAATAGTATAGCAGTTGCACAAACCTGTTTTTTTTTTTTTTTTTTTTTTTTTTTACAAATGAAATTATCTACATTAAAGAGTGAGGGAGTGACTAAATCTCATAATAGGTTAACAATAATATGGTTCAATTTCGTATTTCATGATAATCGAATATAAAATCTCTTATCTATTTTATTATGCGGAAAATACCTGCCAATCCTTTACTACGCGCGTCCTGCAGCAGTACATACACTGCCATACACAATCGGACGCGTTTCGTCTTCTTTCCTAAATCAGCCCCAATTTTCCAGTCCAATCCACACACGAAGGGAAATCTCACACCCTAATTCCCAAAATTCGCCCTCTAATTCTTGCCAAAACCCTCAATTTCTCACTCATTCCAATCCCACCATCTCCCTCGTCCCAAACCCTAACCCTAATCCAGAAGCAGAATGCTTCTCACTCCAGGCCACTCTCCTCGCCACCTCTCATCCCCTTCGCCCTCTACAATTTCCGAAGCTTCTGCCCTAAACCCTACGAATTCCACCCAAATCACACCCAAGAACCCTAAAGGCCACCCCACGGTCCTCGATGAAGACACCTATGTCGCCGCGATCGAGAAGATCATTGAAAGGGACTTCTTTCCCGATATTTCCAAGCTCCGGGACCGCCTCGACTGGCTCGAAGCGATCAAGACCCGCGACCCGGTTCAGATTCGAGATGCCCAGTTGAAGATCATCGAGCGGCGCGGAAAGAAGGTAACTCATAATCCTGACCCTGATGGTAGAACCCCAGGTTCGACTTTTATGCGTAGTTTTACCCCTGCCGATGAATTTGATGGTAAAACCCCGAAAATCCCGGGTGTTTCGAATGTGGGATTGTCCGGTGATGTAGGGTCTAGCGGCGGTGATGATGGCGTAGAGGGCTCGTTGTCGCTTGATCAGTTCTTTAGGCGGTATACGAGTGAGGACAATCATAGTTTTTCAAATATTTTGGAGAAGGTGAATAGGAAGAGGAAGGAGAGATATGAGCATTTGACGGACGGTGAAAAGGAGGAGGTTAAATGTATTGAGGATGTGAAGAGGGATAGGATTACAGATGGGTATGGAACGTCGGATCAGCCGCCTAGTACATTGGATGGGTGGAAGTATACAGCGAAAAATTTGCTGATGTACCATCCTGCTGATCGAGGTGAGGCCCCATTGACAGAGGAGGAACGTGCAAATAGGATGAAGAGTTTGGAGAAGGAAATTAATCGACCCAATACGCGACTCCATGGGAAGACGATTGATTCCAGGCCAAAGGAGGATGCTATGGCTGAGTTTCTTTATACCACAGTTGCAGGTGCAACCCCAGTTATCATGGATAGAGATGGGAATAAGTTGAAGAAGTATGATTTGGATGATTTGAGGAAGACTCCCATTCCATTTTATGTGGAATCGGAGAAAAAAGCAGATAATGGTTATAGTTTTGTGAAGACACCCTCGCCTGCACCAGGTGTTGATGAATCACCGTTTATTACATGGGGTGAAATTGAAGGGACACCTCTGAGGTTGGATCTCGAGGACAATCCAGTTGATATTGGTGGTGGTGAAGGGCCTCATTATAGGATCCCATGCCCACCTGTAAGAGACGAAAAGGCTCACTCGCTGTCAAGGGAAGCTGCACGCAAATTGAGGGAAAGGTCAAAATTGTTTCACAAGCCACCTCTGCCATCACCTTCTAGAGGTGGCAGTGCCAGTCCAAGTGTGTGGACACTCTCCCCTGCTGCTCAGAAGTTTGTAAGGAATGCAATTGGCAAGTCCTCATCTTCTATTGATGAAACTCTTCGTGCCAGTTACCGAGGTTCAAGTCCTGGGTTTACTACTCCTAAAGGTGGTAGGAGTGTATCGAGGCTTGGAAGCCATGCTAGTATCATATCAAGATCACCTTCTGCTGCAAGGGAGGGAACTGATCCTCCTTGGTAATTTGGAGTTCTCTTTTTCTTGATGTTCCATTGGATGATCACTGCTTGTTTGGCACTGGATAAGTCTTCTGTTTTCAACTATGTATGTAAAATTCAGACCTTTATCTTTATGTTGATAAGTGGAAGATTATTACGATAATGATGCCAATGTTCAAGATTTCCATGCTTGTTTAACAATGTCAGTTCTCGTGCTGTTATATATTTTACTACTTGTTTCATTGGTGGTCTTTTTATGAAATGCAATAAGTTTAGGATGCATTTCTTGGATGAGTGTGGAAGCCCCAAAGCCCCATCAATTGTAGCATGTCAATTTCACTTTGCATTAAGATAAAGAGTGTGCACCACTTGCCTTTAATTTTAACATTGTAGTCATATCAAATAATCTGGCACTGAATCTTTTTTGTTCGAACTTCTGTCAGATTTCAGTTTTCAGATTGAGATATGTTTTATCAGTTTCCTAATGTTTCCTCTTTGACAAATTTATTAATCTCCATTACATGTATAACTGTAGAGGTGATGGAAAATATAATACAGAGAACATATTAAAGCTACTTGTTGTGTGGCAAAATTCTAAAACATAGCTGCTGTTGTTACGAAGGTTATGATTTGGTAGCGGATGTAGCTTCAGTATTGTTTTAGACCTTTATATAGTATAGTAGCATTGCTGGATGGATTCGTCTGTTGATGTGGATTGTATGATAATCTATCATTCAACATTTTGCTGCTTCATAGAGAAAGATGTCCAGATGGGCTTTTGTATATCCTGCTGCAGTTTCTGTTTCTATTTTCGGTCTGCAGAGTAAAGCAGAGTATATCATGCTGTTGAGGTACGAGCTTTCTCAGCTCAGTCTGTATAGACAGATTCATGGGGTTCAGTCAATGGGGAAAGCATACCACTCAATGTCATTGGAATGAACCTGTAAATCTCTTCTGCCTAGATCTACCTCAACATTTGAACTTCTACAAATCGGTCATTACAGCTGAGATAGATTTGCTTGCATGAACGGGAACTGAGTTTGCATCTGGTATCCATGCCTCCGAATCTGTTAAAGGTCAGTCAAGTACGAATTCACATGTTTTCTCACGAGCTGCGATGCACTCTGATTTTGTACCTCATGGGAAATGTGATTTCTGGTTAAATTGTTTAGCTTTAGGAGATGAACTTAGTTCCTTGTTCTGGGGGAAAAGCAGGGGGTTTGAGAAATATTATAAATGTGGGATTCAGGCACGGGCGCTGCGTGAACTTGAGCAGTAAGGGAGGCTCATGTGCCGAGTTGGCTTGCTTCGTTGTGTATTTTTATTTTACTCTGATTGACCGTCGAGAGACTTCTTTGATTTGGTTTCGCGTCGCGTTCTTTCTTTCGAGGATTTTTCGTTATACTTTCACGGGCTTCATATGCCGGGTTGTTGAATTCTGTTGAATGAAAAAGAAACTCATCTTATTTTGTGCAACTCTAAAACTCGAATTTAATTTCATTTTGTCTCTTAAATTCGAATTTTGCCACGTCAACAAATTAGTGGGCCCCACCATGGTCAAATCATCAAGTTAACTCAAATTTAGACAAAATCTAGCCAAAGTGGAACGAATATCGCTGTTCCAAAGTCTTAAGTGAGAAAATTTGAGTTTTGGAAGACAAAGCAAAATTAAGTAGGAAAGTAATGATGAAATTTGAGCTTTGAGAGACAAAGCGAAATTGAGAATGAATTCTAGAGAGCATTGCACAAAAGTAAGCCAAGAAATTAATGTTGTAACTAAAATATGTGTCAGAAAGGATAATCTCAGCCTTTAGAGCTAAACTTGTCTCTCTGTACGCATGCAAGAGGCATTTTAAGCCACTTAGTACTACGGTTTAAGGATATTTTTCTTTTACTTATAAGTGAGTGGTTTTAGTACTACGATCTAGTGATATTCCTCTTTCACTTATAAGTGAGTGGTCTTAGGCTCAATTCTCGTCAAAGACAACTTGAATTACATTATTATAGTTAGTTCATTGTGAGATTTAGCCAACTCGCTCACTCTCTTAGAGTAAATACAATGTTTGTTCAAAGAAAAAAAAAACATTATCATCTAATTGATCTCATAGTCATCTCCCCTCTATTATCTTCTTAATCTTTCAGATTGATAATTCCTTAATTTAAGCTAAAGTAGCTTTACTACGAAAAATAATTATACTTACGCATGATGATGTGTGTTCGATTATACTTACGCATGATGATGTGTGTTCGATCTTACTGATTATTTTCTCTCAACAACTAACTACTTAACTCACTTTCGTTGTCATTTGTGATAACACATTAAATTTCAGCTTTGTTTTTAAAGTGAATAGTTACTTTTTGAGAAAGTCCTTCGAGTTGGGTTAAGATCCTCTCCGGATCCCTGCGGATCAACTAGAAAGTTGCAGCCCCGCTGCAAACTACGTCGTCGCTTCGTTCCCCCTCTTCCTAGTTGTCGGAGATCCATCTGCTTGACGTGAATCTAGGCTTAGGCATCGACCTGGCTCGATGGATCTCAGTTTGGTACGGTTTTTGGAGAAGTAGCCGGACATCGACTTGGCTCGATGGGCATCGATTGGACGACGGCCTTCGCCGGAGAAGTAGTCGGTCATTTCTGAGAGACGTCGTCGACCCCGTTCTGCAGTGTGGCGGAAGAGGGCTGCTGCTTCTTGTTGATTCCTGGCCGCCCGATCTTCTTTTGAACGGTCAGGATCAGTTGATTCTCAGGATCCGGACAGTTAAGATCCGGAGAGGATCTTAACCCTTTGGAGTTAAAGTATTAAAAAAAAGAAAATTAATAAAAAAGTTTATGTAACAACAAAATAAAAAATAAAATAAATAGTTTTGATTTTTGTACCTGAAACTTTTCAGTTCTTTTAAAAATAAGGCAGCTGCACACGTGTTTCCAAAATAGGATAATGCCAAAGAATAAAAAGTGATGGAGTCTCTGACGGCGTCAACTCTTTCTATTCTCGATAAGAAATCAAAGTTTGCGTCGTTAATCCATCCCGATCGACGTCCATTGGCAGCTAGTGCTCCCCGGTCCCAGGCGGTTATAAATACCACCTCCCCTTTGAACGCTTACCATTTCCGTTCTCCCTCTCTTTCTTCGCTTCCAAGAGCTTCACTGCGTTTGCCAAAGAATCTCAAGGTACTCTCTCTCTCTCTCTCTTTCTCTCTCTCTCTCTCTCTCTCTCTCTAGAATTGCATGCTATAAGAAATTGAGTCCTGTAATCCTAGCTCGAGTCAACTTAATTAGGTGTTTGCTTGATTAATCCTGATGTAATTAGCAGTAGTCTTGATTAATCTCGATGTAATTAGCAGTCTTTTACGATCGTTCTTGCTATTATTGGCTTCAAATTCATATAATTAAGCATGATTAGCGCTTCAAGTTTCAGTCTTTCTTCACGTAATTTGCTCCGATTCACTTTCAACAACTTCAACTTTCTGTATACTTCTCAGAAAACTTGTTTCTTTTAGGCAAGGCTTAATTTTGTAGGAACAATCGGGGTTCGATTTTCGATCTTGGTATTGTTGTTTGCTTGAATTGTGTTTCTTTGTGTTCTGCATGCATGATTGTGTAATGAGATAATTTAAGCGATTGAAACTGAGTTATATAGTTAAAAACTTACATAGAATCAAGATTTGTTGCCGGAAAAAAAAAAAAAAATGTATGAATCGACCTTGGAGCTAACTTTCCTTAGCTTACAATTTTGATTCATTGAATTTTCTGATTTTTTAGCTCTTTTCCTTTTTGGTTAGTCATCAGATTGCCTCTTGATGATTTTGTGGTATCGCCATACGAATGTGTGTACATGTTTAGAGAGTGGTAGTAATAAAAAACCCTTTTCTAGTTTTATTACAATCAGAAATTAATATTTTCTGCGAATCACATTCCGCGTTTGCATTTCTTCATTCAGATCTTTACTTCTTTTAGTTTTAAGTTAGTTATTAATTGCTGGTAAAGATAGAGTAACTCAATACTATTGCATCGGAGAAGTAGGGGTAGCGTTCTGTTCTGTTTGGCTCATTAGGGTGAGTCGTCTCATGATTTGAAGTCCCTTGTGAAGGGCGCAGTTGTTTCTAGCTTGAACTCGTTTTATTCCTCATCAGATTGATCTTTGAAGATGCCAGTTGAGAGTTCGAATGCATCTGATCAAGATGCTGAACCATTTGTGGAGGTTGATCCAACTGGACGGTATGGGCGGTATGCTGACCTCCTTGGTCATGGTGCTGTGAAAAATGTTTATAGGGCTTTTGATCAGGAGGAAGGTACAGAGGTGGCCTGGAATCAGGTCCGGTTGTACAATTACAGTGATGACCCAACACTTATAAATCGGCTTTACTCTGAGGTTATGCTGTTGAGGCAATTGAAGAACAAGTATATCATTGTTTGTCACAGCGTTTGGAAGGACGAGGCGCATAGCACTTTGAATTTTATCACTGAGGTGTGCAATTCTGGAAACCTGAGGGAGTACAGGGAGAAGCATCGCCGTGTGTCGCTTAAGGCTCTGAAGAAGTGGTCGAGACAGGTGCTTGAGGGATTGGAATACCTCCATACGCACGAGCCGTGCATCATTCACAGAGATCTCAATTGCAGCAACATCTTCATCAACGGGAATACTGGCCAGGTAATTATAACTCATCAGTTGTATCAACTTGTTTCTCCTGATTTTTTTTAGCATAGATTTGGTTACTTGTAGGCAGCCTATTTTCATCAGTATAAAATTGCTCTTCAATCCAAAATCAGAGTTGGTTTGTATCTGTGACAGTATTATGAATCTTGTGATCGCTTTGTTTTAACATAACTTGATGAAAATGAATCCTTGTAGCCCATGCCAATGGACGAGGTTCAATTTCCTTGTGTTTTCAGTGAGCACAATTTTTCATCCTATCCTATTTTTGGAATGTTTCATTTCCATATTTAAATTCTGCACTGCATCACCATAGGCTATAGTAATTCGTATTCCTCAATATCCGTCTCTACATCTAGTTCTCTGAACCCCGAAAGAGCATTGCGTATTTGACTGAAGAGTCAGAAATTATATGCCTATTTCCCTGTCTAATTACCTAATATCATATGTTTACAAATCTGAATTCCTAAGTCATACGGCCTTTTTCTCATGAACATTTCTTACGAATATGACCCTCAACCATTACGCTTTTCATTCATAGGTGAAAATTGGTGATCTGGGGTTTGCAGCAATAGTGGGAAAGAACCATTTAGCACATTCGATTATAGGTACACCCGAGTATATGGCGCCCGAGCTGTACGACGAGGATTACACAGAAATGGTGGATATATACTCGTTCGGGATGTGCTTGCTGGAGATGGTGACAATGGAGATACCATACAGCGAGTGTGACTCTGTTGCCAAGATATACAGGAAGGTGACAATGGGTGTCAAGCCTTTAGCCTTGAACAAGGTGACTGATCCGGAGGTGAAGGCGTTCATTGAGAAAGCCATAGGCCAGCCGAGGGCAAGACCTACAGCCTCTGATCTTCTCAAGGATCCCTTCTTGTCTGAAGTCAGTCAGTAAGAGCCCGACCCGAGCTTGTGATGGCTTTTCGACACTCGTGATCTTTCAAGACCTCGTTTCATGATATAGGGGTTTCGTCTGGCTCTCATTTCTGAACCATCACAAGCGATTGACGGGGTTTCTGTTCAAGTATATGCCTCTCTCTCTCTCTCTCTCTCTCTCTCTCTCTCTCTTGTGTATTCTCTCGTAGTTCTTGACCTGTGCAGTTGGGTTTGTAATAAAAATGAATGCCGGTACCCTATAGTATATACTATTACATAGTCCATAGTGAACTTGCTTGAAGAGTCTTCGAAGATATTCTGGGAAAGTTAGTGTCCGTCAAGCAAGAAAACGGCCCGAATGACGCAATAATCCCAGCTGATGTGGTGACGGTTCATTCGTTGAAATTGAGCGCATAGTGAACCTCATTTATTAAGAATGAATAAGCAAATGCTATATTATGTGTTACATCAGTTGGGAAAATAGTCGGTGCTCTTTCTAATATTATTTAGTAAGTGTTTTATTATATATATATACACACACACTAGCATATGGGCGCACATAAAGTGTGAGAAATTTATTTATTTTTTTGAAATAGAAGGTGAGAGGAAGAGAGTGATAGAGAATGTGGGAGTGAGAAGTAGGTTTTTTTTTTTTTTTTTTTAAATTAAAGATATGTTAGGATTACATGTAGGTAAGACTTTGAAAAAAAAAGCAAAATTTGGTTGTATGAAATTACATTTCTACCCCATATTTCTTATTTATGTTATGTTTTAATTAGAGGGTTAAACTGGTAATTTCATAGGATTTTGGTTGACAATAAGTGTTTTACTAATTAGTAGACTAACATTTGCTTATACACTTTATGTGTATGAACACATTTTTTTAGAAAATGAGGAGAGATGGAGAAAGAGAGAGAGAGAGAGAGAGAGAGAGAGAGAGAAGGGGGGAGAGAGCATGAGGGGAGTGAGAGGTTTTTTTTTTTTTTTTTTAATTTTAAATATTAGAGATATTTTAATATTATCTGTAGTTGAGGTTTCAATAAAAAAACAGTAAAATTTAGACCTGTGAAATTACATTATTGCCCATCATTTTTTTTTATGTGATAGAAGACTAAGTTGTCTTTTCATCTTTTTTTGGTTAACAAAAAGAGTTTTATTAGGGAAGTGTTATTAGCACTTCAAAAATCTCATTTTACACTTCTCACAAGTGTATTTTTCTTTCCAAATATAGAAAGTTTGGAGTGTAGAGTGAGATTTTTGGAGTGCCAATAACAGGTCCCCTTTATTAATTAATAGAGATATATATATATATAATGTGTATATATTATATAATGCAAGTATAAATTAATTAGTTGCATGGACGATTGGACATGAAAGGAAAAAGTGGTTTTGGGATTGGGAGTTGTTGGGAAAAAATAAAGCAAAACCGCTTCATCCCAAGGACCAAAGAAATATTGAGAAACCGTGCTGTTTTGGGTATTTGCTAAATACTACACATACATATGTAGCAAACACAAAGCTTAAAGCTGTACCCGCACTTCATCGTCTTTCCTCCTCTTTATCTTTATTTTTTTTATTCATTTCCTCAAAACTAAAGTTTTACTAGTTTATTTACATATATACCTCATTCTTCCTTTTCTTCTCCCCAACACATCCTTTGCAAATCTCCATCACCGTCTCATCTCATCCCAAAATCCACATCAATAATACCCTCAATTGTTGGGGGATGATTTTTTCTTCTTTTATCAACAATTGTACGTAAAATTTGAACAAAAAATTTATTTTAACATAATAAAGATTAGTGTCACTGTATGAAATGGCCACAAAAATTCGACGTCATATTATCAAAGAGGCTTTTAACATAACGAAGATCAGTGTTTCTGAATGAAACAGTCAAAGAAATTCGACGTTAGGAATTATCAAGTAACTAGGCTTTTCAAGAACTTTAGTAAAACTGCTTGATTAGGCCAACTCTCACACCAAATGAGACTAACTAAAAAGTCAGATGAGATTAAAATATAAATGTCAGTGCCCGTTTCAAATACCTCAACCCAAACTTTTCTTTTCGTAGGGTTACGTAAATGCATCGACACAAAACTTGTGATGCAAGCAACTAACATGGAAAGGAGCACCAAGAAATCAACTACTCACCACTCGAGAACGCTTTTGAAGCCTCAAAAATGGACATTCAGAGTGTTTCACTCGTGTGCATTTGACTTTGACTTTGATTACACAAAAACAACCGCACGAATGTGTGTGTGGACACATTTTCTAATTGACATATTAATCGATTAATTAACTAAAACCATCTCTTTAATTTCAATCCTTCTTCCACTTAATTCCACTGGTTTTGCCATTTCTACAAGTTATTATCTATAATTTTCTTCGATTAGTGAGACGAATTCCAAGCCTTTTGTGGCAATTGGGCGGCCAAAATATGCATTACATTTATAAACCAAATGCTTATGCTTAAGAGTTTCACTTTCATTTGCCTTCTCAAAGTTTCACTTTCACTAAATCTCTAGTCTCTCAGAGCTTGGTTTCGAGCTCTTCCAATGGAAGTTGCAAGCCCTTTGCAAGACAGCTCCGTGTCGTTGAGTCCTTTCTCTTCTCCGAACGTCTCCGCCTTGCTCAAGATCAAGATTTTATCATGGTAAGATTGTTGGAAAATGTTAGCAACTCTGCAGCATTGGATTTGAGCACTTTCTGTTGAGTTTTTTTTTTTTTTTTTTTTTTTGTGACGAATCTTGTCTCAGGACTCAAGAGACTGGTTTGCCTGTTGCGGTTAGTGTTCGAGTTGGTGGAAAGATCTTCAACCTCCACAAGGTAAGAAATTGAAAGTAGAATTATGCGAAGGTTATTCGCTCGAATTTGAGCTACTGAGCTAAGTTAAAATCTTCTGTTAGGTGTTCGCGATTGTTTACTTTTGTGTTCTTGATCGTGTTTACACCATTTTTGTCAAAAATTGGCCTAATATTTTCAGTTTGTGATTTTTTCCAGAGTGGATACTTCAACAAAAGATTGAACAAATCAAATGAGATTGATCTTCCACCGGGCTTTCCCGGAGGGCCAGAGACCTTTGAGATGATTGCACTCTTCATCTATGGCTCCTCCACATTGATTGATCCATTCAATGTGGTAGCCCTCAGATTTGCAGCAGAGTTTCTTGAGATGACAGAAGACTACTCCTCCAGGAACCTCTGTGAACGCTTTGATCTCTACTTGAACCAAGTGGTGATGCAGAGCTGGAATGACACCCTAATAGTACTTCAAAAGTGCCAAACTTTGCTTCCGAGGTCTGAAGACCTGCTCATCGTGAGCCGGTGTGTAGAGTGCCTCGCCTTCATGGCCTGCATGGAGATCCTTGACCCCGAGAGAAGGCGTGAAACGCCTGTGCTCACATTGGAACCATTGGGCACGGGAAATTAGAGCTGCGAAACAGGGAGGAAAATTATGAATCAAGACCTTTGGATCAAGGATCTCATTGCGCTGCCGTTCGGATTTTTAAAGAGGATTATAGGATCTTTGAGAAGGCAAGGCATGAAACAAAAGTACTTGAGCCCCATCATTGTTTTCTATGCTAACAAGTGGGTGCATTCGACAAAAAGCCTTCAATTCTGGGAGAATTCTGGTCAGAGAATTGGATATGATCACAAAGTTTCAGTCATTTTACAAGGTGTCCTTGATTTGCAGCCGATGGGGGACTAGGCTAGTCGATCAATCCCAGTCGGGTTTTACTTAGCAATTCTCTCCAGATCGCTCGAAGTAGGTTTGAGAATCCATACGAGGGTGAAGCTGCAAGGGCAGCTTGTATCTCTGCTGCACTTCGCTCAGCTGGAAGACTTCTTGTTTCCGAAAAGTGGAAGTGAGTCGATTTCTTACAGCATGGAGCTTGCAACAATGGAGAGCATAATTTCAGCATATGTATCGTCTAACATGGAGTCGGACAACAGTCTTTTAGCAGGAAACACAATTGTTGCAGAGTTATGGGATGCATATCTTTTCCACATAGCTCCTGATCCAAACATGGAGCCCAAAAGATTCATGGAACTCATCGAACGAGTCCCAATTTCATCCAGACACTGTCATGATAAACTCTACCGGGTAATGAACATCTTCTTAAAGGTAAACACTTCACGATCAACTTTGCCGAATCATATACATCTTTATGATCTTTCTTGTATTTTTGTGGAGTTCGGTTTCTTGTCCGATAACTTGGCCCTAGTGTGTAGTTCTGCTCACTTAATCCTCCATTGCCCTCACTATCGTCGTTACTGAAAAAGCTCTACAATCTAACAAAAATTTGTTTTAGCTCACTCAAAACTCGTTGAACTCAGTTGTGTAATTTCTGATCTTCAAGCGCACCCGAATACATCCCAGGAAGAGAAGTGGGCAGTTTGCAAGTACCTCAACTGCCAAAAACCATCACAAGAGCCATGCATTGAGGCTGTTCAAAATGAATTGATGCCACTGCATTTGATTGTCCAGGCGCTTTTCGTCCCGCAGCTCAGCACACACCAAGCTTTCAAAGAATGCTCGGATTCATTTAGATACGCCCATTGTCCAGAGTTTTCAGGGAGTCTCGAAAGCTCTAGGTGCCCAAACTCAAAAAGCCAGAATCTCGGACAGAGTCCGTATGTAGACGGAGCAGAGGCAGGCAGCAGACCCTTGAGCTTCTTGCTGGAAAAGGACAATGTATATCAGAGGCCTGAGTTATCGAGGAATGAATATGAGTCGACTAGCTTCAGAATTCAGAACCTCGAACACGAAATCATGTCCTTGTAGCATAGCCTTCAACGGCAGAGCGTTTCAAAGAAGAAAGAGCCAGTCTCAACCACAGAACCTAGCATGAAATCATACAGTAAAGAAGATAGATCAACGAGCAAAAGAAGTAACGCGCTCGGACAAGTGACAAGCTGCATTGGCTCTCTGAATTTTGCCTCACAGAGAAAGTATGCCAGTATACTGCTGAAGGTCTTCTGCCGGATCTCCTTGTTTGGAGGTAGAAAACCAAAGAGAAAGCCGGCTGCCTCCTGTACATGGCCTATCCCAATGCAGCACAATACTCATCAGAATAAAAAGTACGAAAATCAGAGCCAGAGATGGTCGTAAAGAAGGCGTGAATAACTGCCCATGAAATTTTTTATTTGAAAATGTAGTTTTTCTCATTCACTTGCAACCAGGGCACCAATATAAGAATAGTTTTTCTCATTCACTTGGACTACAAGAGCAGGCAACACGCTGATTGCTCGATTCAAATACACAGCAAACAAAAGACATACTGGCTGTGAAAGATCCACTATTGTCACTAAACAACTGGAGTTGCTTCAGAAAATGTGTCACTGACACTCTTAAATTGATGCGACTCCACTACACTTCTTGCTGTTTTAATGAGAACTTGTCCGTTGACATAATGTTGGCGACACACAGGCATGTACACATCAGCACCACCAATCAGTTCCGTCCTAGTCTCCTCCGTCTTCCTCAGGGTAAAGAAAGCTCGTTTGCCACACATTTCACATCGAGCCGTCAACTTGGTCACAGAATCAGCAAGAGGTATTATGTCAAGAACCGAGCCAAAGCTCCTCCTGCCAATTATAACCATACACATCAATAAGAAATCAATGAAGACCAACCACGGAAACTAGCAACACAATCATAACAGAAAATGGATTTCATTTGAGAAGCACCTCAAGTAATCGCCATCCAAGCCTGCAACAACCACAGTTTTCCCATCATGATCAGCAGCCATGCAGCAGAAATCATATAGATCTTCAAAAAACTGAGCCTCGTCGATACCAATGACATCAAGCTGTCAATATAACCCAGTTTGGAGAAGGGCAATTAGAATAATACCATATGCATTCAAATTACAAACACTAAACAAGACCTATGCCATACATCAAACAATTGCAACCATCACAACCAAAAATCGCCTTTTCACATCACGGGTACATAACTAGTACAATGGCACCTCCTCATGGCAGACCATCAAATTGTTTTACCATGCCATAACACGTTTTACAGAAATCAAAGGTCCAAGATTCAATAGTAAAACATACTAAAGTCAGATAATTATTATAAAAAATAAAAATAAAAATAAAAAGAAGAAGAGAAAATCTGACAAAAACCCAACAAAGATTTAAACACTTCCCCATCTTCAAAATTACCTTGTCATAAGCATCTCCTCCAAAATTCTGCCGAAACGATGACAGATCAGGCAGCGCCCAGCACGGAAACTTCATCCCATCGTGCGTCACAACCGAATCAATGGCGTATCTTGTATCCTTACTCGATTTTATCATCGCCACATTCCTACACATAAAAAAAAAAAACCCAATGAATAAATAAATTAAGGGAAATTTAGCATCGATTCACACGATCTTACAAAAGCTTCAATCTTTACTCAAAATCTTCACAAATCACACTTGGGTTTGACCAAAAATTCAAAATTTACCTGCCGCTGTTGACCTCCGACTTGATCCGGCGGAGTAGGGCAGTGGTTTTGCCGGCGAACATGGGACCCATGATGACATGGACCTCGCCGGAGGTAGAAGAGTCACTGGTGGTGGGAATGGAGGGCTTGAAGGAGGCCATGGATTTTGTGTTGCAGAAAGAGGAGGGGTTGAAGATTTGGGGAGGGAAGAAGAGAGATGGGAAGGCGAAAGCTTTCATGATCTGAATAAATAGAGAGAGAAAGAAGAGAGAGAGGGTTGGAGTGGAGAGAAATGGAACAGCATTTGATTTGAGTTTTTGAAAGATTTGGAGGGAAATCGGAAACTTTTGGTTTTGGAGGTAAATTTATATGGAAATTGGGAAATTATGGTTTTTTTCTTTTTTTCAGATCCAAAAGAAAAGAAGAAAATGTGTTTGTTGACCTGGAAAAGTATCCAAAAGGGGGAAGAAATTGAATTTTTTTTTTTTTTTTTGGGGTAAAATGTATAAATCAAATTAATCACATCTTATTTAGCACGCTTCTTAAGTTTTCGAATAAAATTCCTATTATATCCTTTTCATCACACGAAACGATCTATTTTAAAAGTTTGAAAATTAAAAACTCCCTCTATTTTCCTCTCATTTCTCCAACTAAAGTGAGGAGAGAAATGCTAAGTGGACTTTCTCAAAAGTGTGATGCTATATGGATGTTCTATCTGCTCATGTTTTGGCATAATTTTTGTGTCAACATTAAAAATCATTGTGTTAAAAAACATGTAGTGATGAAGAGTATGTAAAGACCGAAGTGTCTCACTTTAAGAGAGTCTTCTTAACATTTCTCAAGTGAGGAATAGTTTTTCATATTTCAAGTTTTATTTCATCTTGTTCTAAAAAAGATTACCATTGTTATGTTCATTTTTTAACTCTGTCTCCTTGCGTGTTTTGGTATTGGTATTCTTCAAATTCAGTTAGGAAAAGTTTATGCTATATCATATATTCAATTTTTATAAACTTGTACATAACTTAAGGAAATGTTAACACTACCAAAATAATAGTTTGATAACTTTACTCTTATCCGACCTTTGATTATTTGCCAAGAGAACATATACGCATTTCTAAGTGTTCATTTTACTCAATTGCAACTCCAACAGGTGAAATTGCTCTTACAATCACTAAAATACAATGTTTATATAGCAAGTGAGATATAATTTCAAAATGTGAGATGGCTTAAAAGATCGATTTAGACATGTCATTTCACAAACTTTTACACAACTTAATGAAAATACAAATTTTGGCAAAAAAAGTCTACTGTCTCATTCGGAATTTGACAATTTTTTCGAGTCAAATTATAGTTTTTTACTTATTAAGGTTGCTCTGCTGAGTCAACTTGCAGTGTTTTAAATTATTGGCAAGTGAGTTTCTTAATGAATTAAGTTAACAACAAGAAAAAGTTTATTGAGAAGTGATTTTTTAATTAATTGGAGATAACTTTTATTTGCCACTTACCCAAGCAAGACTTGCGAGTATGAATCTTTTGCTGCAATGTCGAAAAGTAATCATTTATATGCATTATGGTGCAAATTCGATCTTCACCAATTCATTTCTTACTTAACAATTAACTATTTAAATCAAGGTAATACTAAGGAGGCCAAATTCCTAAACCAAATAATGCAGATGTTAGTGATTAGATTATTGCTCAAGTATTGATGAAAATGATTATTTTCTATTAGGAACACATAATTTGGTTTTCCTAACATTATCCTTTAATCCACTAATGGTATCGTTTGTCACTATTTAAAAATAATTTTTTGAATTTTTGAAGAAATAAATAAAAGTGATCCCTGATTAAATTTTGTTACAAGTGAATAAAAAAATATAACTCGTAGTCATAGATCGTATAAGCAGTGGATTTTATTTTAAAGGTTGTGGAAGTGCTTTTTGGTTTGCTATCTACGTACCTTTAGAGCGTGGGATGCCTTACTGACTCGAGTAATATAGGACGTACTTAATACGACCTCACATCCCGTGCAGTGGTTTGTAAATATATTTCAAACACATTTATCCACCTGGCTTGGATTCCATTACCACCAATTACCTTAATATCATGCTTAGTTACAAGTCCACCTACTAGACTCAGCCTATGGGAGTGTTTTTGCCACAATAAGTTTTGATAGTTTGATGAAGGAAAGCTTTGCGCACCTGCCGCTTTGTAGGATTTAAATTACTAGTATGGTGATTGTAAAGTCATTGTGTTCCAACACATAACCTAATACATTAATTATCTTGTGTTATCTTGTCTTTACCTCACAACCTTGCATGCCTGCCACATTTTATATCATTTGGAAATTTGGGAACGTTTTCTTGCTTCCTGCTTATTCTGAATGATAGCGTTGATCTTATTGGCAGTATAGTGATTTCGTAAATCTAACTTTTTGATCGGTTTTCATGCTTATTCATATTTTTCTTTTTCAATTAACCTCGTCATTTTACATGTCTCACTTCTTTTAGCTATAATTTAACTTTCAACGCATGCATAGCATGCGACATTTTAGTATAATTAATAATTTAGTGATGTTTAATATTAAATTAATTTCAATTATAAAAAGAGAGTTTCGAATTCGGATGCATAGAGAAAATACTAACACATTCGTGTTAACCATTGTAATTACACATGTCAATAACTAGTTTTATTTAAAGTATTGTTTATTGTGTTTAGGGTTAACTTTTTTGTTTAGTCATTGAGTTTCATACATACATTGCTAATATGTAAACAAGTAAGAATATGATTGGGTGATTAGAAAGAAGGTAACAAAAGGAAAGCATCGATTCCTCCTTTGAACTGCATAAACTATATAGTAAATAATATTATGATATGTTTCACGTGATTTGCGTGATGCCTACTCTTTCCATGATCAGCACATGCACAAACTAATAATAGTGAACGATGTCGTATTTGTGGAGAAGAAATATTTTCCATTAAGATGATCATAAAAGCGGTTCTAGTTACAACGTTTGTATGGTAAACTCGATGTCATGTTAGTGGAGAAGAAAAACTTTCATCCTTGCTGAAAATGAAGTAGTATCTCCGGATATGAGATGACCAGACACCTGTTGGAAAAGAATTAGGGTCTAATTGCTATAATAAATCACATAGAAAATCAAGAAATAATTCATGCAATTATATATCACAATAATGCATGCACATGAGTAACCAATGTTAAATGAACATGATATAATAAATTAGAAAAACCTAGAAAATACAATCGAGGCAAGTGTTGGACACTTTGTCCTTAAGACAAGTTTACGCTCCACTACGGTGCTCATGGTTAATCGGCACATGTCTCCTAAGATACAACGACCACGTCTTTGTAATAATAGCACTCCAAATCACAAGGCTCCATGAACCACGATTGTGTTGAAAACTCTCTCATATGAACTCAATGAGACTCTCTAATATTTAGTGCTCTCTGACACACCCCGACCGAGATCAGGGCGTGCTGGCCGTCACGCAGAGGTGACGTAACCATGTGCACGTGCGGAAGCTAATAAAAAGTAATATAAAAGTACGAATAATAAAAATAAAAAAAAAAACTAGCATACAAAGTAGTAAAAACAAGTACTAGCGTAAGTGAGACGCTAAGTTCAAAGCAATAAGTCTACAGCAGTCCAAATTAAAATAATGCGACAACAATGCACCCAAAGGTGACCCTACATTGGTGAGTGTCTGTCAGAAATGCCGGGAAGCCCTCTGGGAAACCACTGAACCTGCTAAGCAACTAGAACCTGGAGGGGCGCAAAACAAAAGCGTGAGTGGGCAAAAACAAAGCTCTTTGAAAACCATTTAGTAAAATACATTCTAACCCCTCGCCGTAAAACCTGTATACTTCCCAGAAAATAAACATATATACGTAGGTATGGATATACCAATTATACTCAAGAATATGCCATAACGAAACCTCATAATGAAATGCAAGTGCTCAGGTATAAATCATGACAACAACATATAATCTGGCGGCCGGAGTCACCTAACGTGACCTGTACGGCTGCATATATAAATATAGAGCTCAAATCTCAAACTCAATAACTGAACCTGCCCACGAGTCGGAACCACCTAAAGTGGTCTGTACGACAGGCCTGGGTGTAACATATATATATACGCTCTAGTGCTACGATCACGTGAAGGCTGTGCGAATAATCGCGGGTCACCTACGAGTCGGAACCACCTAATGTGGTCTGTACGACAGGACTGTGCACCTAACTTGGATCCAAGCTGAGCGTGTGGTGCGGGAGGTGAACATCACGTGAAGGACTGTGCCCTACTCTGGGCGGGAGCACTAACACCGAGGGTGCAGGTTATGAGCTCTCTAAGCATCTCAACCCACTACTGAATATAAACACAAATAACACTTACCTGGCACTTACATGTGCGTCCATAGCACCCAAATATGCATATGTACATGTATGCAACTAATAATGCACGTGATGATGCATAAACAATAATAATATGGTGCATGGCATAAAACAATTAACCCTTTTTAAACAATTTCTGGGAAAATATAAGTATATAGGTATATACGGAAAACCAAAAGCCCACTCACTGATATGTGGAAGGGTCGTAGCCCCCTGCCTCGAGTGACCACGCTCGTCCTCGGGATACGTCTCACTTATATGCGAAAATACTATAAAAACATTAATTTTAAAGCACATAACCTTCCTTTCGTAACAACTTCTCATACATTGCTCAAAATGGACAATTGAATATACCAACGTGCTCTACACAACCTCAGGATCACACCCATATTTTTAGAAAAATTTTCCACCGCCGCACGCGCCCCCACGCGCAGGCACGTGCCTGGCACGCTGACGGCGTCAACTGAAGCCGTTAGGAATATTCCGTCAGTTTTGACAGATTCCGTTAATGGCGTCAGGAATATTCCGTTAGAATTGACGGAATATTCCGCCACCTTCTCCGGCGCCAGAAAACTGGAAAAACTTCAACCTTCGATTTCTCTCTCGTTTTCAACCATTTTTCGTGATTTTTGCACCAAAACGAAGCCTAAGACTAGGAGAACATAAATATACAACTTTCAAGAGCCAAAAACTACGAGATCTTACCTGACCAAACCACCCAACTCCGGTCAACTCCAAACGCAGTGATTCCGACGTCAAAATTCTTCAAACGAAGAACTCTGAGACTCCTTGGGACCTCACCAAGTCACCTACGAGCTTCGTTTTCCCTAAAACGTGATAAAATATGTTTGCATGAATAGTACCCAAATCGGACATCGTCGAATCGACGTGAAAACGACGGAGTTCTCACCTGAAAATGGCACGACTGGACTCCCACGAGCCTCACGAGCTTGAAGGTGTACTTGGTTCCCTCGATCTGTAAAGGTTTGAGGGGTTTTGGGTGTGTGTCGTACGTTTTCAATGGAAAATGAGAGGAGAGGGGACTCGGGGGAGAGACAGGGAAAAGGACAGAGAGACAGTGAGAGT